ATTCTATACCACAAGATGCAATAGTTCTTATTGTACTGCTTGGATTGCTCTCTCATTGTAATCAATACTGTTAATTAATATATAATGATCATATATTTTCCATGCAGGAGGGTTTATTTAACACTAACAAGCCTTTCAAGTTTTTATATGGTAATATGGTGATAGGTTGGAATGTTTCATCACCCAGGAATGTGGATTACTATCGCAGGATATTTTTCCTCTTGATGGTGCTTCCACTGAATGTTATGCACCCCTGTACGACCATATATCTAAGTTTGCATGTTCATTCAGAAGATTATATTGACTATTCAATTCAGGGTTCAACCTTTGAATAACACAGTTCTGGCTCAGTAGTTTGAGATTCTATTGTGCACCTGGATCTTGATAGACATCTAGACCTATAGCTGCGTTTTATTTTCGTTATCCCTTTTAGAAACTTACACGCTAACTTGGTGGATTAAACCGGTGTTCTAATTAAATGATAAATGAGTATAAAGATTTTCTTTTTTTACTGTTATATGACAAAATGAATGAACATGTGATCGCTATCCAGATTAGTCAGGCCATCTTGCAAATAACTATGGGATACATTACTGATATTTTCTTAGGATGGCCAAATAGACATGCATTCTTTGCTAGGTTAAGTTTTGTTATTCTTTGTACTTATTTGCTCAATCTTTGTAGTGAAATATTGCAAGATGAGGAAATGGCTCAACTTCAGAGTTTCAGTTAAGTGCACAGTTAAAGAAAAATTGTAACAACTCGGATGCAGCTCAGAGGTCAAATATCATGATGCAGAGTAGGCACTAAACCTAATGTATCTACTTGATTTTGTTGTTGCAGATTAAATGGTTATCTTATCTGTACACAGCTTATTAGGCAGTATAGCAGTACCCGCACGTTTAGTAGTTGTTAGATAGTTTTTGTGCATAGTTGAACTGTGTATTGAGATGGGAAGCCAAGTTGAAAGGCTTGCGGATTCCATTTGTCAGACTGGTGGCATTCCTTAATTTCTGATCCCTGGTTATGATTTGATTCTTATTTATATTGTCCTATGGAAAGAGCATTAGGATAGGACAAGCAAACAAGCCTTTCAACATTCATGGTGTATATTTTGTTTCATCGAGCTGTGTTGCTTATGATTTTGAATTCGAACGGATCTGCTTCTGTTCACTAAAGAAATAAATGCATGGATAGAGAAGGTATGCTCTAAGCTGTTTTCCCTTAGTTTAAAGGAAGGATTAGTAGTACATGTAACTGTCTTTTCTTTTCTTGGTATTCAAACAAGAACAAATCACTGTTGATGTTTAAACTCTCTAGAATCTCATAAATTTTATTATTCCTCTTAAACTTCTGATACAAAATTGGAGTTGTAAATTATTTATTCTGGCACAACCAACTGCTTCTTCTTCTGCCTAGCTTGCTTTCGATGAAGTATTCCTGGTGACCTGGTCAATAGACTGCACTTGCCTATTCCAAGCACATACATGCCTAAGGATGTCCTGTAAGAAAAGCTTTAACGAAATCACTTTGGTTTGTAAATGTCCTTGAGGATTGAATTAATAGAAACTAGCAATTCTTCTGCCTAAACTGATTCCTGCAAATTTTCTTGCCGAACTACTACATGGTAATACTCCCTCCATTCCATATTCTAATGCACATAGTTTTTTGCCTAGATTCCGAAATGTAGTGCGCATAAGCTGCTTTGGACTAAAGTAGCCCTGGACTGTTCACAGGAACGCATCAGCAGACACCCACGTGCTGTGACAGAGCGAGCAGCTGGAGGGCAATTCCTGTCCAAATGAGAATGTCAGCTCACGCATTGGTATAAACGCTACACACAAAGGCGCATTATAAAGTGGAACAGTGGGAGTACTAAATTCATATGTAATACTAAATTCCTACATGTCATAAATTAGATTTTTCGACAATAAGTACCTAAGTCTATGTTATGTTTAAGTTAAAAAACAATGTCGATGTGAGCCATACATACACCGATTAATAAAGCGGTTAGTACTTAAATTGACCATCATTTCCTATGTGCCTTAGAGGTAAGTTTTCATCTCCACCATTGACCCGCTTAAGGTGGCTATACTGAAGCAGACCCCATATAATTATGAATGGTTTATGAAGTTGAAGGATGAAACTTGAATGAACACAATGTTGAGGTTTGTAAAGTGAAGCCTAAGACAAGTTTGAGGGGGTAATATGCACTTCTCTCTAACTATATTACCAGAGGACAATGAGGGCAAGACAGTGACAACGATGAGTTTCTCCTGGTTCTGTTTTGTTGTATGTGAAGTTCTTAATTATAATTATCAATGCGTTTGTTTTTCCTAAGGATGCAGTGACATGCAAGGTGAGGCAAATTGAAGCCAAAACAGCAGGACGGTCGGAAGTGTGCCATTTTTTCTATATAGGTTAGTGATTTTATCCTTTTTGTATTTTTACATTGCTAGGTACAGTAGTTTATATGAAATGATTTGTTAGGGCAGGGGGTGGTTCTTCAATCTTCAGGGAATCAAGCGGTAGCACCGGATGCTGACATGCATGAAAGGTAGGAGTGATGGAGTATATGTATTTGTAGCAATTCACCATCGTCCATAAATAAATCATCTTTGCCCCGCTTCCTCTGTCCATCCGTCAACTCAAATTGCTTTGGTTCACAAGTTCGTTTCATCGTACATCTAGGTACACTAGAACAGAGAGACTACTTTCCTTGAATGGCTCATGCGAGTAAACTGACAATAGTGTTCATCCAAGATGCAGTTGTATATGTATCTTCATAGAGATGTAGATGCATAGGTAGTTCAATAGTGCACATGTTCATCGACAGGGATGTAGATGTAGTATACAACCGAGGTTACATTGACAAATTAGTCCATTATGCTCCCAGGAAAAATAAAATATGGTATATTGTTTCACTCTATTATATTGTAAATATGAAAAAACAATTGTCTCTGTTGCAACGCATGACGAATGTGAGGTGGGGTCTTACAGCGGGAAATCGAGAGCGAAGGGGAGAGTCCAATAGGAAAAGTGAAGGGTGCGTCATGGGGTGGAGTGGAGTTTTTCTGTTGGGTTGGAATGACAACTTTGTTTGATAGTTGCCTGGGATAGACAGTAACATCTCATCATGCAACATGGTAAGTAAGGTCTTTTGTCCATTGTTTGTCATGGTTTATTGTTGTTTCTAATAGCTACCACTTGTAGATTTATCTTCCATGTGAATCCATCGGTCGATACATCTTGTACGTTATCCACAAAGGCACATCGATTATCTATTCTGGACCCTATTCATACAACACAACCGTTGGAGATGGAAAATCCGAGGCACTTAGTGAAATCAAAAGGTTTTGTGAGAGAATTCAAAGAAGCACTCAAAATAAAGCTACCAGGATAGCATTCTGATATATCAAAATGGCAACGTTTATTTCCTAATGGTATTCCAACGAGCGTAGATGGGTAATTAATTCATAATACAAACATTTATTTTTCTTATCATCATATTTAATATAATAATAATTTTTCCATTCTATGCTCTTATGGAATGGTAAAGACTTGGCGAAGCCGGTTTGCACAGTGAGTATTTTCCGTTACACATGTGCTTAGACCTTCCACGTGAAACATATACTTTTGCAGGATGGGTATGAGTTGAGGAAGCAACTTTTTATTATACTTTCTCAAACATCATGCAAATGAAGCTAAAGACAACTTTCATAATATTGTGCGAGAATCTCTTAAGCGCATCAAGTAGATCTCAATAGTTTGTAATAGATTTTGAGTTGGATCATCACTTTATATATATTCATTGTTAGATTGCCATTTTGTTATCAGTTTATATTACAAGTGAAGTGGACTTCAATTATTATGCAATTGTGACCGTGTTATATTATCCTAGCTGTGAAATTTAGCATGCATTATCTTTATATAACTTCAGCAAAATATTTCAGAAGCCCGTGGCAACCAGGTTTTTATGTCAACCCACCATATTTTCTAGCCAGTTGGGGAACTGAGTGCGGTAGCGGAGCTATGGGAGTGGTGGACATGCAATGAGGGAAGGACAAAGAATAGAGGATTAGGAAGGATGGATGGAGGTGTCGGAGCTGAGAGAAAAGAGGGAAATACCGAAGGGAGCTGGCATGGAAAGAAAGCGAAGTTGTGCCCCAAGGTTAGAGTGTGATCGTGCTATAAATGTTACCTTTTATCAATGCCCGTGTTCATTCTCGAAGGCTCGACACAACCATTGTGAAGGAAGATGGCAAACTCATTGAGGACAATCATTGTGGTGATTTCTAAGCTCAATTTCTGGTGGAGTAGTCTCGTGACAAATTAAGAGGACAACCCATGAGTAACTCATAAATTTATAAAATCACCTTGTTTTTTCATGCATATTCATGTTACCTACAAACGTTAGATGTGATTGATTTAGGGAAGAAACAATGGAAGAGATGGTGGTTTTGCAATGTGAAATATATGTCTGAATCAAGTATTGTTTATTTAATCATCTATTTCATTTTTTTCAAAATAATTGTTGGTGTGATTTATTTACAAGCATTTGCTCTTAGCAACGCACGGGCACCTCCAATCAGCAAAATATCTCAGAAGTCCATGGCAACGCATAGGCATTATACTAGTCAGAATAAGGTCCTAAGAGGTGTTATCATGACACCCCTTTACATCATTCTGCATATATTGTGCCTATGCAAAATATAGTGTTTTTAACTTGGACGCACAGGTTGCTCCAGATACATTCTCTTGCATGTGCACCACTGCCGCAATATTCGGATCCGACACCGCAATATTTTGCATAGGCACAATGTCGAACATGTGCCATCGAGGCAGATCCGTTGAAGTTTGTGATTACCCTGCGCACTGTCCAGACTGGCTCTGAGCAGCGCCAACTCGCGCGAAAACCGGCTGTTCCGGAGGGTTAACGTTGACCTCTATACTCGATACTTCTCACTGCTGTTCCACGCTGTCACGCTGATTTGAAGTTCATGGGTTACCACCACTATCCATTCTCTCGCACGATACCCACCGCGCGCTCGTGCAGGCCGGCCGTCTTCCGATCACAGATTACTCTCGTATTTGGCGGGGCGCCCGATTTCAGAGAGAGGGAGCGAGGAGAGAGGATGAGGGCGCCTGCGCGCGCTCTCCTCGTCGTCTTCGCCGCCACCTGCCTCTCCGTCTCCATCGCCACCGACACCATCGACCAGGCCGCGTCCATCACCGGCAACCAGACGCTGGTCTCGGCCGGTGGAATCTTCAGGCTCGGCTTCTACAACCCGCCCGGCAGCTCCGATGCCAGAGCCTACCTCGGCATTTGGTACGCGGCCATCCCGGTACAGACCGTCGTGTGGGTCGCCAACCGCCAGAGCCCGGTCGTCAGCTCCCCCGGCGTCCTCAAGCTCTCCCCAGACGGCCGCCTGGTCATCGTCGACGGCCGGAACGCCACCGTCTGGTCCTCCCCGGCGCCCACCAGAAACGTAACCGCCAAGACCACCGCTCAGCTCCTCGACGACGGCAACTTCGTCCTGAGCTCTGACGGGAGCGGCTCGCCACAGAGCGTGGCGTGGCAGAGCTTCGACTACCCGACGGACACGATGCTCCCCGGCATGAAGCTCGGGGTGGACCTCAGGAGCGGCATCGCCAGAAACATCACGTCGTGTAGAAGCCCGACCGACCCCTCGCCGGGGAGCTACACGTTCAAGCTGGTCATGGGCGGGCTGCCCGAGTTCTTCCTCTTCCGCGGCCCGGAGAGGATCTACGCGAGCGGGCCGTGGAACGGCGTGGTGCTCACCGGCGTGCAGAACCTCAACGCCGAGGGCTACACGTTCAAGGTCGTGTCCAACGCCGAGGAGACGTACTACGCCTACTACGTCAGCGACCCGTCGGCGCTGTCGCGGCTGATCCTGGACGGCGCGACGGGGCAGCTGCAGAGCTACGTGTGGGGCAACGGCGCGTGGAGCAGCTACTGGTACCACCCCAGCGACCCGTGCGACAGCTACTACAAGTGCGGGGCGTTCGGTTTCGGCGTGTGCGAGGTCGGCCAGCCCCCCAGGTGCAGCTGCCTGCCGGGGTTCAAGCCGCGGTCGCCGGAGCAGTGGGAGCAGAGGGGCTGGTCCGGCGGCTGCACCAGGAGCGCCAACCTGAGCTGTGGGGCTGGAGACGGCTTCTGGCCGGTGAACCGGATGAAGCTGCCGGAGGCGACGGAAGCGACGGTGCGCCCCGACATGACCCTGGCCGAGTGCAGGCAGCTGTGCCTGGGTAACTGCAGCTGCACGGCGTACGCCGGCGCCAACATCAGCGGGGGAGTCAGCCACGGGTGCGTCGTTTGGGGCGTGGATCTGCTTGACATGAGGCAGTACCCGGTGGTCGTGCAGGATGTGTACATCCGGCTCGCACGTTTCGAGATCGACGCCTTGAAAGCCGCAGGTTAGGACTTCCACAGATTTATTAAAGCTTTTCTTCAGTTATATTCTGCAGTTTAACATTAGTAGCAAATCACATTATGAGCAGTTTTCTGTTACTCTCTCCGTTCCAAAATAAGTGTCGTGGTTTTAGTTCAAATATTTTTGAACCGAGGGAGTAACCTTGTTGAATGTTCATGATTATATTGCTGCTATGTTATCTTAAAAGACCGCTTTCATTTCATACCATTTGGATTCTATATGCACCAGCCAATTCAACTAGACGCCTGAACTGATGAGAGCATTTTTTTTTTGAAAGGCAGATATATAACTGTAAATTTTATGCAATAGAATGAACTGGTGAGAACATTGATAACACAAGAGGAAAAGCAATTGAAGATTATATTGTGAATTCATTTGCCGCAGCATACATGTCAAATATAAGCAGATTTGCATGGGCCCAGTAGCCCTCAGCCATTCGTTGGGTATAAATTTGCAAATAGCAATTGATTCTTCTACTGGTAGGATGTCTGTATCACATATTCACAATCGCTGGATTAGGCGCAGTGCAGTCCACAACATCAAACAAAGATCAAACGTGCAACACGAACTAGCTTCAAAGTGGCGAACACTAATAATTATAAAAAGCATGCGTATGATAGCTTCAAAGTGGCGAACACTAAAATAGTTAATAACTACTCAATGCGAACAAGCATAATGCTGCGGTGTTAGACAGGCTTACCTCATGTTCACCGCTGTTTTATTTCAGCTAACAGTCAACGTCCGAAAAGGAACGTGGCGATCCCCGTCGTCGCCACTATTTTCGGCGTGCTTCTCATGGTGGCGGTTGCCTGCTGCTATTTCTTGAGAACCAAGGCGATCACAAAGCGTCAGACCGGAATGCCACCAAGTACAAGGGGCGACGTGTTTCCCCTAGGGGTCAGGAAACATTCAGCGCTGAGCACAGCACAGGATCGACAGCTCAATGAGAGCAGGATGAGCAGCGAAAAAGATCTTGAACTTCCGTTATTCGATCTAGAAGTGATTCTAGCTGCAACAGACAACTTCTCTGCGGATAGTAAGATAGGACAAGGTGGATTTGGCCCTGTTTATATGGTAGGATAAGAATCAAGCAACGGTAGAACATCTTTCTTTTTTTACTGATGTAGTAGATTTTAACATACCTGCAAACTGATGAACAGGCAAAACTTGAAGATGGACAAGAAGTAGCAGTAAAAAGGTTATCCAAGAAATCAGTACAGGGGGTTGTGGAGTTCAAGAACGAGGTAAAACTGATAGCAAAGCTTCAACATAGGAACCTCGTGAGGCTGCTAGGCTGCTGTATCGACGACCAAGAGAGAATGCTAGTGTACGAGTTCATGCACAACAACAGCCTAGACACGTTCATATTTGGTCGGTTCATTTGTTTATTTTACGGAAACAACTTCTAACTACTTCGGCTGGCATTGCATCTACGATGTATTTACATCAATTGAAATGTTGTGCAGATGAAGGAAAGCGCAAGCTACTAGGATGGAAGAACCGATTTGAGATCATTCTGGGGATTGCACGGGGTTTGCTATATCTCCATGAGGATTCAAGGGTCAGGATAATCCATAGGGATTTAAAGGCAAGCAATGTGTTACTAGACAAGAACATGATTCCCAAAATCTCAGACTTTGGTATTGCAAGAATGTTTGGAGGTGATCAGACAACTGCATATACCACAAAGGTCATCGGGACATAGTGAGTATTTATCTTGTCACCAATATGTACATATATTCCAAAAATGAGCTTTCACGCTGACTAGTGAAATTGTGGTCTTCAGCGGCTACATGTCTCCAGAATATGCAATGGATGGCGTGTTCTCTATGAAATCCGATATCTATAGCTTCGGTGTACTGGTGCTAGAGATTGTCACTGGCAAGAAGAATCGTGGATTTTATGATGATGAGCTTGATCTGAGCCTCCTTGGTTATGTAAGTACCAACATGATTAATTGTCAAAGTTAATGATCTTTGATCGCTTGTTACTTTATGTTACTAATGTACAACTATGTTGATCCTTTTTAGTCGTGGAAGTTGTGGAAAGAAGGTGAGACTGCGGATTTACTAGATGAAGCAATGGCCGGCTCGATTGACTACAGTGTGGTGCTCAGATGCATACAGGTTGCTCTCCTATGTGTTGAAGTGCATCCTAAGAACAGGCCATTGATGTCTTCCGTTGTCATGATGTTGAGCAGTGAGAATGCAACATTGCCAGAGCCAAATGAGCCTGGGGTAAATATTGGGAGGAGCACGGACACGGATTATTCTCAAACCCACACTGGAACCATTTTTACAGGGGATGCAATGAATGATAGGTAGTTTGGAGTAGAAATTCTTTTCACTTTCTTGAGTGGAGTAGTTTGGCGAAGGCAATTTTATTTCAATACTCGCCACGATCTCTTGTAAACTATATTTATTACATGCATAAAGAAGAACTTGTAGGGGCATATACAATGGTTGATAAGATAGTTTTATCTTAAGTTTTGCATGTAATTTAGAGACGACAAAGAAAAATATCTACAATGGGTCATCTCTTAGCTTATCTTTAATAAAGCTATCAGGGCAAAAAAGAACACAAGCTTGTAATCGATCCTTGCACTTTTGATGGGTACCCGGGGCAGGCAGCTGACCCTTGCGCCACCGCCGGCCTCTGCTGGGCCGGCGACGTCGCCGGCGTCGGGAAGCTTGTCTGGCTCAAGATTCTCATGCCTGAGATCGGACGTTGGCTCCTCCGACGAGGAGGATGCGCCGACTGTTGGCGTGCAGCTGGCCCTTGAGGTGCTTGGGGAGGATGTTGGAGGCGGGGAGTGGAACACGGTGTCTCGCCGGAAGAAGAAAACTGAGGCGGAGCTGGTCCAGGAGTTCTGGGACGATGCGGGATTCCCGACGCCGGCATCTCGTTTCTGGGAACACCGGTCGCCGTCGTCGCCAGGGTCGGGTGTGCCATCTTGCATGGAGCAGGAGAGGATCGCCGATGCGGAGGGCTCGGAGCTGGTTGGTTCGGCGTCGCTGTCGAGATCGGCGGCCCCGGTGCTCTTCGGCCGGAAACCTGTGTCCCCACCATCCGGGCTGAGAGTCGCCCGACAGCTACGATTGGGGCCTTGGCGTGGACCCCTGCCGCCGCGCCGGGCGACGCCCCCGTCGGTGCTGGGACAGTTCATTGACGCGGCCAGGAAGAACCCCTCCGCAACAAGCCGGCAATGCCCGCCGGCGTCGGATGCATCGCCGAGATCTGACGTCGTTCGGGCGCCAGGTCCGGTGGCGAGATCGCAGGGAATTCAAACTCAACTGTCCTCGGGCTTTGGGCCCATGCATGCACAAAAGGACGCAGGCCAAGATGTATTTTCTTGGGCCTTTCTGAGGACGCGCATGAAGGCAATTTGGGCAGGTTTTGGTAACCATCAGGCCGCGATTGCAGCAGTTCCTTTCACCGCTTCGTCCTCGTCCTCGTATCCTGACGCAGATCCTTCGATCACCGCCAAGCCTCTGCACACCTCACGGACGCCGTCTCCAACTCCAGCATCACCTCCTTGCGCCGGGGTCGCCCGCTCCTACGCGGCGGTCGCCGCGACGTTTGAGCGCCCCATGGCGGGCGTTCCTCCGACAGCACCTGGTGTCGCTGCCACGGGAGGGCCAAACCCTCGCCCACCACCAGCCATTGGGCCGACTCCCGCTCCTTCACGTCCTCCGGCGCAGGCGCCGGGCTACTCCGGTCCACCACATCAGCAGCATGGACTGGCGGCGGTATACAACTATGCTCCATCAATGCAGCAGCCCCCTGTTTACGTCCAGGGAGGGCAGTACGTCTCGCCGTACGGTACAGTCGTTGCAGGAGGGCAACATCCCATGTACGGGGTTCCATCGACCGGGGTTTCCGCCCCTCCGCAATTCCATCCAGGTGGGGCGATGCCTCAGCCGGCTCAAAAACGCAAAAAAAAAGAAGCCACAGCAGCAGCAGTTTGCGGGTGGAGCTTTGCAACCCGGTATTCAAACTCCAAAACACGTGCCGGTTCAGCAACAATTTCAGCAGCAGCACATGCAGTCATATCAGCATGGGCAATATCAGCATCCTCAGATGCCAAACGGGCCTGCTATTGTTGATACCCCACCGGCTCCAGTGTCTGATGTGCAGGTCGATACGGCGCCCAAGTCCAAGGCTAAGAAGGGGGTTCGTTGCTGGAAATGTGCGGTTAATACGCATGCAGCGAAGGATTGCACTGTGCAACATTACTGCTATATTTGTGACAAAATCGCTCATCCAACGTTGCAGTGTCCTGTTCTCAAACTCCCTAGGCCCAGTGCTTTTGTTTCGGGAGTTGGTGCTGAGGAGACATACTTTGTCCAGTTGCCTGATTCCGTGGTGAAAGATCATTTAGCACCGACACAGTCTCCGATAGCCCGAGTTCAGGTTACTGGTTTGATGGTACCGGCTAGTGTTGTCGAGAGCCAGATTGCTAGGAGATGTCTGGTACATGATCAATGGAAGTGGGAGGCTATTCAACACGGGTCTGATGGTTACCTTGTTAGCTTTCCGTCTTTCGAGGACTTGGACATGATGGATGGTATTCAGATGAATGTCCCATCTGTTAATGCTCAGATGACCGTTACCGCATGGAGGTCTCAGGAGGTCCCACATAAGCTCGAGCTTCAGCAGATTTGGCTCCATGTCGAGGGGGTTCCCCATACGGTTCGTCATTTTTGGGGCTTATGGGATGTTGGTACTTTGATGGGCAAGACATTGGATGTCGATCTTCTTAGCTTGCGTCGTCGTGGTGTTGTATGTATTCTCGTGGCTATGACCAACTCTCAGATATTGTCAAAGGAGAACGACAATGCTGGTCCTTTTGCTGCAACAGATGTGGTGGTTAAGTTCAAGGGCTACACTTTCTCGTTCAGAAGGGAGCCGCCGGGTTACATTCCGGATCCTGATTTTGTCCCGTTTGTTTGGAGACGCAAGGGTGATGATGCTGATGATGATAGTGCCGCCAAGGAAAAGGACAATGAGATGGACACATCGGAATACACCGGGAACCCATCCAACCATCCGTCGTCCAGTTCTGCTCCGGCGAATAACACTAATGTGACTCAAGTTCAACAATGGGAGCTACCGACTGTTGGCTCTGGTGGTGCGACGGGAGGTGGTCCTGTGTTGTTGGCAGTCACTTCGTTTAACTCTGCGCTGCAGACGCCGAGAGGTATGGAGCTTGCCGCGGATCTTAGAGTCAATTCCACGTTACCTGGATGTCTCGAAAGATCCCCTATGGTTCACCGACAGGAGTTTTCCTCGCCTTCTACACTGCAGGTTGTGGTTGCATCGCAGCCGTCGTCGCATTCTCGGCCTGCATCGTCGTAGTCCGCTGCCCTCCTGTCGGAGCAAGTCACCGGCGGCTCGGCGGGGCGCCCGTACTCTTCTGTGGTACACCTACAACCAGCTGCTAAGGTGGCGTCGCAGCCGCCGTCGTCGACGCGGACGGCAGCGTCTAAGCCGGTTGTTCCCGAACCGGTGCAGGCTGCCGATGGTACAGCGCATGCGGGGTGCCGACATCCTGTGGCTATGGTTGAGGCCAATTGGCATGCATCTCATGTGGAGATACCCATGCATGCACGTACTGGGGAAGTGGAGCTACCCATGTATGCATGTAGTGAACCTGGACGTGAAGGGATACCCCCAAGTGTGCAGCCGTGCATAGCTGCACCCGCGGCTTCCCTTCGGTCTCTGTCCGCGCCAGACGAGTCCGCGGCCGCTCCCCAGTCTCAGGCGGAGCCAGACGTGTCTGCCTTACCCATGCACGCTCCTCCAGTCAGGCCATCTTCGGAAGTGCCGCCGTGTGTTACGGCGGCCGAGACTGCCAGGGAGGTGGTTGCTACTACACCCACATCCCCCCTCCAGCGGCGGTACTTGCGCGACACCCTTCACCAAGAATGACACCTACACGCCGAAGTGGCCGTCATGCGGTGGCCGACGATGGAAGGATGGACACTGACGAGGACTCTTTGGTCAAGGCTATGCGGCGTAAAGCGGTGTAGAACCTCGACAACCAAGGTACTTTGTCATCACTCAAATCATTTTTATCTTTTTCTAATACATCCATCATTTCCAAGTTGAATAATGTGGGTGTTAGTCTAGGAAATAATGAGAATGATATTTCTGTTTCGACAAATGCTTTGAAACATTTGGAATATGACCGATTGAAGGTTACTCCACGAGTTTCTAGCAAATCTTTTATCTCACATCTAGATGAGGAGGAGCTGCATGCCACATCAGATGGTCAGCTACTCGCTCATGTAGTAGGGGAGATTTCGGACGTGGGCTTGGAGGAACCCGTGCTTAGCTCATTGCTTGAGCTTACAGCTTCCGGTCGTAAATCCAAGTCAGACCGTTTGAAAAAATGTCGTAAATCCTCTAAGAGGGCGAAATTTTCTAAATCTCCTATTGTTTCCTCATGAATGGCATGTTTTTTAATAGCAGAGGTCTTGGTGACTTGGCTAAACATCTATTCATTGCGGAATGTAATAGGGAACACAATTTAGACTTTTTGGCTTTATCTGAAACGGGGAGACGTGATTTCTCAGTAAGTCTTCTTAACCGTCTTTCTGGCGGGATAGACTATACTTGGATTTCTCGGCCACCTCGAGGTCGTTCTGGGGGCATTTTACTTGGCGTAAACACGGGGACTATGGATGTGTTGGCTAGTTCGGATGGTGAGTTCCACATTAAACTCCATATCCGGAACAAAGCCGACAACTTCACATGGACCCTTGTTGCTGTGTATGGAGCAGCCCAGGATGGGTTCAAGGCTGATTTTCTCCGTGAATTGGTTAATCTGGCGAAGGAGAATCCCTACCCCATTCTTATCGGTGGGGATTTTAATTTGCTACGATTTCCAAATGAGAAAAGCCGAGGTAGGTTTGATAATCATTGGCCTTTCCTCTTCAACGCTGTCATAGACAGTCTAGATTTGCGAGAGGTTTCCATGATTGGAAGACAGTTCACTTGGGCGAACAGTCTTCCAGAACCGACATATGAGAAACTAGATCGCGTATTAATGGATACCGTTTGGGAATCCAGATTCCCTATGGTTTCTGTACACGCTCTACCTCGCATAGAGGCTATCTCAGACCACACACCCATCCTTTTAACTACTGGATTGCAACGACCGTAGCACAGAAACCGGTCAGGATGGATTCCATGACATGGTCAAGAAGGTGTGGGATAAACCGGTTGTCGGGCTTACCCCAATACACAAATGGAACAACAAAATTCGTGCATTACGTAAGTTCCTTAGTGGTTGGGCTAGGCACACTGCGGGTATCCTCAA